AATTCTCGGCTCAAATAATCTTGGTTTGTCCTTACGTCGGTATTAAACGATGAATTTGACTTCTGGTGCCTTCCTAGAAGCCTGATCTGTGCGTGTAAAAATATATGATGTTAACAGTTCTTCCTTATTTATTTATTTGTGATCTGCTGGATAATAATGATGCGTTTGATTTTCTTTTCCCAGCTCATTTCTCAGCTGATGGTCTTCATGATCAGTACAGTCAGTATGGTGTTCTGTGGTCACATGGGGAGAACTGAGCTTGCAGGAGTGTCACTAGCAGCTGCGGTAAGGAGACGCACTTGAGGCGTACGTCAGCTGGTTTCTGTCGCTGCCTTCTGTAAGTCTTCATTTGGATTCTGAACACATGCTTTTTTTAAATGAATGTATCTATTTATTTGCAGGTGGTTAACGTCAGCGGTATTTCTGTTGGCACTGGTTTATCAGCAACTTGTGATACCCTGATATCTCAGGTTGGGGCTTATGTTTTTTAAACAACTTAACAAGGAGATTGTTGTATCAAGTTTGTTTTCCTGAACTGTTACTTTGTCATGAGATCAGTAAGTCTTTGTCTGAATGTTTCATGCAGACGTATGGGAGCGGTAACTTGAAGCGAGTGGGTGTGATTCTCCAGAGGGGAGTTCTGATTCTGCTGCTGGCCTGTTTCCCCTGCTGGGCCGTCCTCATCAACACTGAGCCTCTCTTACTCGCAGTCAAACAGAGTCCGGAGGTCGCCAGGTAAGTTCAACAGGAACAGCTAATGCAGAATTAGACAAATTTATAATTATCATCTGTAAATGCACAATATATACTTTAAGTCAAAATCTGCACTACAGTAGAAGTAAAGCAGATGTGGTAGATCAAAAGATTTGCAACATTAATGTGCAGCTGACAAATCTGCAGCATCTCTGCAGGTCTTGCATGTCAAAATGTCTGCGAAATGTTTCGAGCACCTTTTTGAATTTAGGCCATAAAGAATCAAATCAGTTTTGTAGGCAAAGAGCACTTGTAATCACACCTGCTTTGTATATATGTAGTTTTTTCACACATTGTGTTTGTCTCTCTGGCCTAAAGTCTTGCCCAGATGTATGTGAAAATCTTCATGCCTGCTCTCCCGGTGAGTTTGATGCATTCAGTTTTCCCTCATGATCCCGTGTGTGAACGCACAAGCTAATGGTGGAAGCTATCAGTAAAATCAGAGAATGTCTAAA